CGGAACAGGGAGCAGAGCACCGGGGTTCCCGCCCTGGCGCTGCCCTCGACTCCCTGCAACAACGCGTGTGACCTTGGGCAAGTCACTACTTTTCTGTGGGCCTCAGATTTCCTGTCGATGGGAAAAAGGGAAATGGTTCGGAATGGCAGCCCACATCGCTTCCAGCCGCACAGTGGAGTGGCTCCCGAGGAGAGGTTTCGGGAGAATGGGTTCTAAGACGCGGGGAGACAAAAGGATGAAGATGGAGGCAGGCCTTTCGCCGGGGCTGCCGAGAGTCCCCGGGGGGTGGGGGATGGGGTCCTGTGTGCGGGAGCCGTGGAGAGAGGGGGTCGGGGGGGCGGGAGAGAAATCGGACCGGTCCGCATCCTGTTGGAGGGATGGAGGCCTCTCCCAAGTAGAGGAGGCGGCGGCGGAGACCTCACCCAGAAAGAGGGAGGCCAGGAGAAGCATCTTCCTCAGAGGGAGGATAAGATGGCAGGCTAGACGGCAGCCGGGGAAGATAGATGCTAGTAGAGCAGCATCTTCGCAAGCCGGAGGCATGCTGCGGGTTCGGGAGAGCGGGGCTGAGGGTGGTCGGGAACAGGGAGGGGAGGTCATGCTGCCGGGCGGTTGGCGAAGGGCAGCCTGTGGCCGGACCGCGTGCTGACGGTCGGCCGGTCCCGGCCTGTGATGCTCTTCTCCCGGGTGAAGACGGCCTCTTTCCGAGAGAGGAGCCGGTCAGACTTCATTTACCCGCACACAGCTCTGCGAGGAGCGGGGCAGACCCCGGCAGCGGTGGGACCGTCTAGCTGTGCGTGAGGGTTTCAGGATTGTGTGAGGAACAGGGAAGAAGACAGGACGATACCTGAAACCTCTATGATTTATTAACCAATGTCACCCCAGTAAATTCAATTAAAAGAAAGAAAAGAAGTGAACATAAAGAACACACCAGTGAATCTGAGTGAAAGAAATGCCTGTGGCACCATCATTCTTGCTAAAAGGAAGTGTTTTGAAGTATTTGAAAGCACAGACTTTGGGGTCACCTGCCTCTGCCGTTTAATCTCTTTGAACCTCAGTTTCTTTATAAAATGGGGATAGGAACCTCCAAGATGGTTGTGAGGATTAAATGTTTGTCATGGTATTTGGCTCATAACAAGCACTCAATAAATATTAGCTATTAGCTGCTACCATTCCCTTTTTTTAAAATCCTCACCTGAGAATATAAAGGAGAGAATAGAAAGGAGAATAGAAAGGAGAGAGAAAGAAACATTGATCACATCAATTGGTTGTCTCCCGAATGCACCCCAACCAGCGCCTGTACCCTGACCAAGGTCCACACTGAGCCTGCATGCCAGGTACATGATGCTTCCATCTCTTTCTCTTGCCCCCTGCTGGGGACTGAGCTGGCAACTTGGCCCGAATGGGGAATGGAACCTTCGAACCCTCCGACGCTCTAACCACCAAGAAAACCAGTCAGGGCAATCATTTCCTCTTTCCATTCTTTCTCTTTCTCTGCTCTTGTCCTTTTTTCCTTTTGTTCTTCTTGAATCTTCAATTCTGAGATGTCCCTTAGATGTGGAGAATGAGAAGAATTGATTGCATCTGGGGCGGGGGGTGGTCTTTCCACTGGTCCAATGAACACATTATGATCAGATGATCAGTGGTCTTGCATCTCTCCCCGGCCCACAAATGTGTTTTTGTTCCAAGGAAGACACAGGATCTGCTGCTCTTTCAGCCCCTTTTTCTGTACCTCTTTCTCACATGAGTTACTTCAGATTCTCACCCAGAAGTGTAATAAGATCCAAAGTTGTACAGGCACTGCAGCAAAAGAGATAGGGGAAGGGGTGTTTAGGAAAGAAAGTATAGACATTGCACAGGGGAGCTTAGCACAGGGAGGGCTTTGGAAGTTCCATAGAAATTTATGTTCATGCTATTGCTCTATCCAGAAACAGCCCAGTGTCTGGATCCTTGCCAGGGATCTCCATTCCAAGTTAAAGATGGTCATATACACTTAGTTTTTCATTATTTAGGTTTTTCCAAGCCAATAATTTGACTCCAGTTCCCTTTCCACAGCCACACAGATCTCTGCCAAGCTGCCTCTCATCACAGTCAACCTTTACCCAGAGAATTTATATAAAGGTACCTGGGCACATTGTGTGGGTGCGGGCGTACACACACACACACACACGCATGCCTATTTTTAGAATATTCCAGTATGCAAACAATCTAATAAGGTTAAGGATGATTCTGCGTTTTATCACAGCACTTTGTCTGCAGGGCCCTAGACACTCAGAGGAGGCT